ATTTACAAAAAAAAAAACAGACTCAATTTTTTATTAAATTTTGTTGTTGGGTAATGTGAAATACGTTTAATAAAATGGTGCAGGTCTCATGTTCGTTAAAACTTTTTTTTGAATATTTCCGAAATTGGAAAAGTTGAACATTTCTTCAGATACTTCCTACAATTAAAATATTAGAGAGAGATATTTTCTTTCATTTGATGAAATCTGTTCCTTAAAGATAGATTTTGAGATAAGGTCTTGTACAATTTTTCGAAAATTACAGTACTTATCGCCTTATTTGAGTAATTTGCGTCAAAATACGGGGAGAAAGTATATGCTTTTTTAGTACTAGTTTTTGATAAAAGAAGTTTCCTGCCTGTACAGATCAATTTAAAAGTTCGTGGCGTACATCTTGGCGCGAATTGAATCTATCCCCGTTGACTTTCGGTTCAAATGTCCACAAAGTCGTCTTTCCTGTCATTTCGTTGATCTGCATAGTCCCACCTAACGTAATATTCCCCAATGTAAAATAAATAAGACACTCGTGATTCTATTAGTTCATTTCCGGTGCGCCGAATAATTATTTTAATTTACTACGCGTCCGCGAAACTTCCCTATTCTATACCACGTATGGGTATCTACTCGCGACTTTATGGACTAATGTTTAAAAAGAATGGTTCACTTAAAGAAACATCTACGATTTCTACCCTGTACTAATATTTTTTCCGAGTATAAGTATATTCTAAATTTTAATTAATAGTTAAAATTCTTTTTACATTCTTCACGTTACTGCTATTAGGACTCTGAAAAATACCGAACACGATTCCATACAAGCACACTCCCCCTCCTACACCTGTCGCAATGTCTGAAATAACAATACAATCCCAAAAGCCCCCTCCTAACTAAAGGCGATCGCAACGAACCAAAGGCTAATATGGCTCGCTCGGACACTCGCGTAATAAGAGACCGAAACTGATTTCTTTTACATGATCACATGTCTCCCACATGTATTATTTTTTTTTCATTCCACGGGACATTGCTAATTTACTCGTCGCCTTAATATTACTTGACTCAGACCCATTCTGTGATCATAAATTGCACGCATTGACATAATATTTCTTGTAATATCCCGTGGTATAGAATAGGGAAGTTTCGCGGACGCCATTCATGTTAAAATAAAATAAGGGGCTATTTGGTTTATCACAGTACATTCTGTTAGCTATGGTTCTTTAAGATCAAGCATTTAATAGGAAATTATTATTATTATTATTGATATTATTATTGTTATTATTGCTGTTATTACTGAAATGGTGAATTTGGATTTCGTTTTTTCTGTCAATGACTGGGTCCTGTACGGCCATTCAACACCTTTTTCATTTATTTTATAATTTTTATTTTAATTAACAACAATAACACAAAGTTAGGCCTACATACGAAGACAACTATTGTTGGAGACTACCACAACGAAAAATGTCTGTCTTTGATGAAGATATCTGCCCATTTGATGTTGTCCAATATCTGGCTACGCCAGTGGTTGAATTTCCGCCGAATAATGGGATGTTCCTATCAATATTTCGGAGTGGAACAATGCATTGAAGAGGTTATTCGTGACCGTACGTTTTCACCATTTAAAACCGTGACGCTTTAGTAAATAAGTGATGATAAAATGTTAGTTATCTTGACGTGTAGAAACTCCACTTAAATAGAAAAATTACGTTTCTGTAATCGTTGTAACTAATGGCTGAATAGAAACAATCAAGTCGTCTGCGATAATCGTTATGAAGCATGACATTAATAGCAACTGAAAAAAAAAGAAAACAAGAAAGGGAAGTGGGCAAAGGATGAAGAGGGGACAAATTAGCATAAAAAAGATCTTAAGAATGGAATAGAAATATGTGGAAATTTTATTTAATGAAACAAGATTATCTGTATCTTTCTCGCTCCCACTCACTCAGTCTCTCTCTCTCTCTCTCACACACACACACACACACACACACACACTCTCTTGCATGCCTGTGCTTAGTCATTAAAAAAACTATTAGAGATCTCTTGATTTTAGAAAAATAAACTCTTCAAAATAATCAATTATATATTTATTGATATACATTAAAAACAAATTTGCTGATTTACTTGCTGTACGTCTTTTTGACAATTTAAAAAAAAGTCAACTTTGTAATCCTCTGATTACATTGAACGACCGTTGCGATTTCCGATTCATGTCATGAAAATAGGTCCGAAGATCCGGCGATTAGAGAAGTGAATTTTAGACGAGATATCCAGTAATGATATTGAAGGCAAATAATAAGCATTTTGTCTGTATGTCGAACTGTGAACAACGTAGTGGCTAAATTGTTTCGCCGATTTTCTTCAAAATTGATATTACCCAATCGATCTAGCTGATGTCGTGGTCTTTGGATTGGAAATCGGTATTTCTATTTTGGGGGTACTTAACATGAAGCCCCTGCGGCATTTTTCAAATTTTCAAAAAATGGCTCTACGATTTTTGGTTAAATATAGTTTTTGCACATTTATGCACATTTAAGAGAATATTAAGAAATTGCACATAGTTGAAGCACATTTAAGAGAACGATTCAAGTCTCATATTCGTTAAAGCCCTGATTTTTCAAAAATTTCAAAACTTCACATTGTCTCAGCGTCTTCCTACAAGTAAAATATTAAAGATTGTTTTTTCCTCTTAATGAAATTAGGTTATGAACAATTTTTCGAAATTTGACTGCTTTTCGCAGAATTTTGCGTAAAAATATGGACGAGAAAAGACGTGATTTTTAGCACCACTATTTTTTTCAATAATATAAGGGAATGATAGACGGATTAACGCGTCCATCCTGCATCGATAACAAAATTTTCCCCCTCTAACTTTTCTTCCTAGGTTTCATTATAGTTCCTCTCTCCTATTTACATTTATTATGATCTTCCGTTGTTACCAGGTGCGTGTTAATATAAGCACGTTAAAGTTTCTGCACCTAATAGGAAAATTTCCAAAATTTTTAATTGACAATTTAAGGATTTTGTTGTAAATTTGTAAGGAAAATTTATAATAAAATAGTGTTATAAAGAACTTGCCGACTTATAATATTACACTATATTACTATTATTTTTTTATTCAGGGACAGTTTAAACGTTCATTCTCTGTGAAAAACTACATGCTGCAAAGTGTTAGCCTTAAAAAAGTACTTGTAGAGTTAAATCCAAGCTAATTGTGATCCTTGAAGTTATTATCACTCACGGATGGTTTCAGAATCGTTTTAGCGCAATTGTTTTCAAAAATTTCATTTTTATTTCAAATACAATTCTTTACGCTAACATTATTTAAAAAAACATTTTTCAGCAGCTAAACCCTAGGCCGTATTATCAACATATGTGTAATGTGTAGCCCACCTCACACTTTTGTTCTGAAAATTAAAGGCAGCATTAATTAGTAGATCACATGATATTTCATACCGTAAATTGTTATCTACTAAACAAAACGACCGAGGGAGATATTGTACAGTATAACAAAAACAACGCCAAAAGACCAAATCGAATGAAAATCAAAGTCTCTACAGAAGTACAGGCGTAATATCTCTCAAATGAGCATAAAGGGTTGAAAAAATCACTTTATCTCCCGTCGATAAATCGACACAGCTGGACTGCTGGCTCGTGCGGCCTGGATAGGCCATATTAAACATACAGATGTGCCTTGGGAAAAAATATCTGAAATCTGCCTATGATTTAACGGTTTCAGGGGCTTTGAAGTTCACAGAAGAAGGTGGGTTATATTAGATGCTAAGCCATAGCTATCTGCATACCTATTTTTAACACTTTCATGTAATTAAAAAAAATTGTTAGTTAATTATCAATAAGTTTACATTTTCATATAGTTCCCTTTACTTTCGGTTAGTTATTGATTACTTTTTGTATGTGGGAAACCTTCCACAATTTCGAAGAAAATATGTAAATCAAATAATGTCAAAATCCATACAAACAATTTCCTAACAAATTCTTCCAAGTTAATATTTTTTGAATGTGCGAGTTAACTTCTGAATATCATCATTCAAATTTGTAGGTAGTTTCTTTCTACATATTTTTTAATATCATTAATGTCACATTCATCCATCTTACTTACAAAAGACATACTGAGATTTATTTTGTATCTTATCAACCGCTTCGGATGCACTTCACAGAAGGAAATGCACTTGAAAAATATTCAAGAATAAAATTTCACTTCTAAGTGGGTTCTCGCACCAGTAATGATGCAAACACTTCTGAACATTAAGAGACCAAGAAGTTAATACTTGCATGTAGCACTCGGATATTAAAGCAGCCCTTTGTGGTAACATTTCGTAAAGCTCACAAAACATTGTCCCCAATTGCACAGGACAAAATTACATTTCTTTGCAGGACTCATATAAATTTCACCTGTTGCAGTGGCTTCTTATATTCCAGAAATATTCGTGAAGAAACTTTTTGTAATAGAGCTAGATTAGCCGTCTCACATTCATCGAACGCAGAGGAAGAAAAGAAGATAAAAAGTTGCATGAGCTCGAAGACTTCATTGTGTCTTAATGATAATTTTCCTTGAAACTTATGGAAGTGACTAAGTATATATAAGTGATGGCGTTGCAAAAACGCGTAGGGCCCTGACTGTCCTGCTTGAAGTGGAATGTCTTTAAGAGAAAAGCGTGAAACTGAGAATACAATATAATGTTACATTTTACCCTATTACTTTTGGTTTCCTTCGCGTTGCTACTAGAAAATCACTTGGTTAATTCTCGTCTGTCGATCTCGAGTGCTGGAAATGGCGACGTCTCCTGGGAAACGTCGGCTGCCAACGCAGTGGGACGCGTGTTCGGATCCCGACGGCATCTGACGCTTTTCTGCGGAGAGCGCCGATTTCTTTCGAACGTGAACGCACAGGCGCGGAGTGCTCTGTCCCTGTTGACACATCAAGGCTCGCCGCCGACTGGCTTCGCGCTCGCTCCTGCAGGAGACGCAGGCTTCGTGCTCGCTGTCACTGAGGGGCCCCAGCGAGCGATGGAGGCGCTAAGTGCAATGAAGAGAGCCGTCGGCAAACGGTGGAGCCCCGGCGACAGGTTGCTGATCGTTGTTGGAGACAATGCCAATAACGCTTCATGCGACGATGGTGGGAATAGAAAAGCTGTGTAAGTATATCTCGTTTAGCTTCGAACTCTCTCCCGTTCGAACTTTTTAGAGACTTATAAAGAAATCTTAAAGAAATCCTGCAGAGAATTTCCCAGACTTTTAGAAGTAGAAAAACCTGTGGTAGTCACGTAATATGTGAACAAGAATTGGAAATGACTGATGATAGTCTGGTTATCGAGCTTTTGTTGCAGGTCTAGTACAGTTGATAGAAAATACCTTAATAGAACTCGAAAAGTTGATTAGATATTTAAAAAAAACATATAAATGACATTCTGTGTTGTCCGGTTAAACAATTTCGATCAAGATTAGGATCACGAGAATTGATGGTCACTAATTGTTGTGATCTTCACTTCACTAATTCAGTGTGACTATTATTCGCCAAGCTTCACCGTAGTATTCATTTATTACTATTTCTTACTATAGTCGTATTGAATAGTGTCTCTTCGAAGTTAATATTTAAAATATTCTCTGGAAGAGTTTTCAAAAATAATCATAATGTAAAAAAAAGTACTTGTGTCATGAGTTATACGAGTAATATTTATTACTGAGCAAATAAAGTATGCATTTTTTCTCCCTGTAACAGAGGCGTTCTTTTCCGTTCCTTATGGAAAATCGACATCCTTGAAGCATTAGTGATGCCTTTCGAAGGATGCATCTACGTCTACAATCCCTTTACAGAAGAAATGATTTTGACGCCGCAGCACTGGAACCATCGTGACTTTGACGAGTACTTCATATCTGTAACTAGAGATGTACATGGATATCCAGTGCGGGTTCCTGTGCTCTACACTCCACCATATTCAGTGAATAGAAGCGAGTGCAAATACATTAAATGTTGTCGAGGGCCCGAGGTAAATGTTTTAATTATCATTTCATTACGATTTATCTACTTACGATTTAACACTAGTGAAGCTCGAATCGCACAGTTTTTTCTATTAATAGTGTAAAATGGAAGAAATATAGTTTTCAATTCCTGCCCCACACCACCCCACCCCGCACCCGCACCGTTCTGTTCCACTCAACGTCGTTCAATTCCACTCCGTGGCGCCCGCATTCGGTTATCTGCGCTGTACCATCCAGCTCTGCTCTGCTCTGGCTATTCTATCCGCTCGCTCGCCCCTTCATCCATCCATTCGGCCCACCATCTCATCCATCACCATTCCAACTACCAGTCCACCTACCCTTTCCATCCGTCTGCCCCCCACTCACTCATCCGCCTAACCACTCATCAATCCACCTACCCAATCACTCATTTCACCACCTACCCACTCATTCATTTACCTACGAATCCACCCACCTTCCAAGCACGCTCCCATCACACGTGCCCCGTTCCACCTTCCTTGACTACCCCAGCGTCACTCGTCCACCCTACATGGCTTCGCCTGGCTATCCTGCCTCGATCAGACCGCTGTTAACCAATCTGCACCATCTGTGGATTTCATGAAACTTAAATCATTTCTTAGGGGTTACATGCAACATATTGGGAATCTGTTCTCTTCATGCAATTTCTCAAGATGCTTTAGTTCTGCGTTCATATGACAACTATTCAGTTTCTGTTCTTATAGGGATCAGAATTACAAAATTGCATTTATCAAAATTGTCGACCGAATGCCTTAGCGTATGTTAATGCCATTCTGCAATTGAAACGTCCTCCTACTTCCCGTAAACGGGTTTCGGTGGTATTTCGGGGATGGTATTAGAATGCTAGTGGTATCGATTCTTTGCCAAAAGCTAAGTAGCTAGTGGAGGCAGACACCGTCAGCGATCCGCCCTTCCCCACCCTCATCCCTTTCCACCCCTTGGCGTGGAACGGCTGACGAAGGGCTGTTCTGAAACACCGTACCGGGATAGATGGCCCAGGGCATCAACTAATGTGACTGCAGTCCCTCTTACAGGGAGGTCCTAAGTTCGAGTCCCGACCATGGCAGGAGTTTCGACACAAGGTACATAGCTAGATCGAATGCAGCCACTGTCTGGTGAAGAATTCTAATGGACAGCAGCTCTAATAGGTTTTCCTTGGTTTCTCCGATCAACACCAGGCGAATGCCAGAGCAGTACCGTAACAAACGGGCCACGGAGCGGCGCGCGATCTCACCTTCCTCTTCCTTGTCCTATCCTCACCCACACACACTCTTACACTAACACGCACTACAGTACCACATATGCCGGGAGCAGCGTTACAAGTTAAGAGCTTGTTCCGGCTAGGGCGGTGCTCCTCTGGTGGGAGATATCTGGTCGGGAAAACCTCGCATGCCGACGGTAAATCAGCGCTGGATCTTGCCATGTAGCGGGGGAAGAGATCACCGCCACCTCCCAAGCAAAAACATGCAATACACGTACGGGATTAATGACCCTGGTAATCACTAACCAATCAATCAAACACAGAACGTGCCTTCGCCTACGTTCAAGAAGACACTGGCGATATTGCGTAGGGGCAAATATCGAAACAAAACCCATGGAGAGTTGACAAACAAGAGCAAAAAGAAATAAAATATCACACACAGCAATGTAATGATAAGTAGTGCATAAACTTACGCTTTCTAAAACTTACTGTCGTCCTTTTATTCAGAAGTTCCAATTTCGTGAAAATTATTAGTAAACTTAAGTATTTGAATAGATCATGATTGCCAGGTTTGTTTATCTTGAAAATAGTTTCAAAATTTTCAATAATTAAAATAATTTTACGGCTGTTGTTAGATCCGTGTTACTTGTGTTGATGTGCATCAGAGATCACATATTTTAAGTAGGCTAGCTCATTTTACTTTCTCGCTTTATTTCATATGAAGAGGAGGTATTGTAATCGAGCGCAGGAAAACTATATTTCGTCAGAAGAGTTATTAATGATACGTGTGGTAAAAATAACATTTTATTTGGCAACAAGGAACGGTTGCGACATGAAGCCAAAAGGTCGAGTGGCACAATCGTAAAAGGAAAATAAAATCACTTTTACCTCTTGCGTCATACTCGATTTTTTAGTCAGCCTTACTGACTTTCATTTTATTTTTATTGAAGTACACAAATCACTTAATGATACATTAAGAGCAGTAGTAGCTGTTGCGTTTTGCGCACAGATTTATCTGCACACTTGCCCATCGCCATCAAAATTGAAATTTAAGCACGCTACACATGACTCGAAAGAACCGTTAATGTAGTAGCTGTCTAAAAACTCTTTATTGCTTGGTAACGACAAATGGATAAATCTTGTCCCAGTATGTAGTCAATTACTTCCTCTAACACATTGTGTAATCAGGATCAATATTTTGTCGGACCTTAATAACGAGAAACCAATTGACGGCAAACGTCCGTCTGGCCGTCCGTCTGTTTGTTTAAACTACAAAAGCAGTCAATAAGAGCAAGTGATACCACATCTATGGCTCACTATCTCTTATTAAAGAAAATAATGCTGAAATTTGGTAGTGAAAAACTACAAATTCCTTTCCAAACGAATCTCCTCAATGTTTTAAATGTATGGATGTAAATGTGCATTCATTTGGGAAACCATTATTCAATTACTAACAGCGCAAATGAAAAAAAAACTGCCTTCTCGCATCACGTTTTGTATTTAATAACAAAACCTATTATATTTGTATGTCATAAACGTCCGAGGTCTATAAAACTTATCCACTACGTATTAACTCACATTATACTAAGGCTTAAAATACTACAAAGATTTTCAAAAAGGGTGCTGAATATTCAATTTTCGAGTGATTAGTTATGATTTTTTACCCGCAGTGAAAAATTATGTAAACTCAAATTACAACGAAAACTTATGATAAATTACATTTTATTTTTAAAATAACTTATCAGAAACAATATCAAAGATTTTGAGCTTCCTAAAAAATGAAATTTATCGAAAACAAACATCATTGGGTCTCTGAGCGCCACTTTCCTTCTTAGTAACGCTATAATTAAGTGCGTATTCTGAGTGGAAACGTCTAATATACTTCAATTTTTTGTGTGTGTTGTACAATGATGAATCGAATGAGTTACTTGGTACTCTTAGATACTAATACTCAAAATAATAATAAAATAGTGCCTAAAAATTTCCAATTGCTTGTATATTATTTCTAAATCCACAAAACACCATGTCCGACGAAATACATTTTCAGTATTATGTATCAAACGGATGGTTCCGTACCAGCATGTTATGCCAGATATTCGGATGTCATATGGATTAAGGTTTCAATCTCTAAAAGACACAATTCCCTGGCGACCCATCTCCATAATTCCAAATTTGGACATGAAGTGAAAAGATTTGTATATTTTATAAATCTTAATTCACAACTCAAAAAATATGACACACTGTTTCCACATTGGTGATGAGAGATCAGGTGTAGTACTTTTGTATTTTTCTTCGTACGTTTGCACATCTCGATAAAAATATTTTAGTGAGGAATTATGTCGAAAGAACTGAACATTAAGGAATGATGAAGACATAAAAAACGTCTCTTTTTACGTAGATGAATTAACTTACTTACGCGCGACGCAATCTCCATTAATGGGTTTCCATTAACCTCATTTCCATTATCACCAAAACGCCTTTATCTCCATTTACTTATCCGCAATTCATGTTATTGCTTGTTCACTGTGGCCTTATTACAATCAATGACCACTTTTCATGAATTAGTTATCGTTGGATTGGTTAAAACTAGAGTTTTGAGTTTATAGGCACTCGTCAGCTCACACGTATGGAAGGAGGTTGACAGGTTGCTTATCTAATTAGTCCGACTAAATAGAGGCCCAAAAATGAAGCGCGGTTCCTATTTTTCCGCTTCGTAGTACATCTAGCACTAGATAGAACATCACATGCAAGGAAGTGAAGATACCACGCCGGAGATTTTTAATAAAATATTGGGTCATTGATTAGAATTGCACTTTTCTTTTACATTTCCAGGCTTATTTATAACCCTGGTATCAGCACAATTTCCTACCAAGACGTTCCTTCCGCTATGAGCGTCAACAAATAGACCAACCCGCCCATGGGCTAGTATTTCTTTACAAACAACGAAAGCCTGTGGATAAATTTAACAAGTTTGATATGTGATTATTTAATTAAAACGATATTAAGTAGTAGTCTCGTAAACGAAGCGAATATATATATAATACATATTTTGACGAAATTTTGTTTTAGCTATAATTGTGCGTTGTTTATTCTAAGGAATTGTTGTATTCTAAAATCGAGGAGAACGCCCATCAGAGCATAGACTTTGACTTGGACATTTTTGACAAAAGAAAGTAAAATAAGCGATGCTTTTATTCTAACGAATGCCAATTACTTTAACGCGTACATTTTTCAAATGATCGCCACCGATACAGCGCATTCCATCCGTGTTTCATTTATATTCACTTTAGCCATTTTACAAATAAAAACTCACCACCATAGACAGGGTGTTTGCTTTCTTGCTAAATTGCTTTGTAAACGGAAGCGCTAACTATTATAGTCAGTAGCACAGGAAGTGCAGTGCATGTTGCATCGTGCCAGGAGTCGCTGTTTCTCCTAGCTGGAACGTGACATCCGCGGTCAATCTACATGCAAGCGCGTAGAGATTTACTTCCTACAGGTATCCCGCCGATGCGCACCGCTCCAGTCGGGACAAGCATGAAGTTTCCCACTGGTCTTCCGCCATGTGAGGTAGTGGAGTGCATGCAAGTGTATGTAGGAAGTAAGGAATGACACGCGCGGTCCCTAGCCCGCTTCTTAGGACACTGCTTGGGCATTCGCCTGGTTCTGACCAGAAGAACCTCAAAAACCCACCCATCAGACCAGCGAAACGCTAGAATTCTCCTCCAGTGCTCGACTTTATCTCAGCTCTATATCTCATATCAAAAATCCACCGCCGTCGCCGAGTCA